CCAGATCTGGATGTGAGGAGGGTTCGAAGAGAGGAAGGATAACAGGTGTTTGATCTAGAGTCGGAGCGATGGAGGAGATCATCAAGAAGTTAAACCCCGCGGAGGTCTCTACTTTGATGCAGCTGATGAAGTTGTTGGCTGGTGAGAGCGCGGCAAGGCCACCAGCAAAATTGGATCTCCCACCCATTGATCTGAAACTCGATGGGCCAGCTACGTATCTGAGCTGGTCACATCGGGTGAGGTACACTCTCGCAGGGATGAAGCCGGAGGGGTACTTGACAGGTGAAAAGGCAAAGCCGGCTGAGGGCACTGCGGGAAGAGATGAGTGGAAGTCCACTTATATGTTGGTGTACATTTGGCTTCTCAGCTCATTGGTCCAGTCGATTGCCGCCATAGTGGACGGCATTGAGAAGGTGAAGGACGTCTAGGAGAAGCTAATGAGAATCTATGATGGGGTAGGGAATAACCTGAGGGTGTTCCAGATTAAGAGGGAGATTAATGCTACAGTCCAGGGAGATAGGACAATACAGGAGTATGCCACAGAGCTGGAGCGCTTGTGGCTGGATCATGATCACTTCTCACATCGAGCCAGCTGCAAGGATCCGGAGTGTAAGGCGCAAGAGGCCTTTCTGAAGGAGAGGACTACGGTGTTTCTCCAGGGACTGGCTTCAGCATTTGATCAGAGGACCACGATGCTACTAGCTCAGCTGAAGATTCCCACGCTTGAGGAGGCAGTCTCAGCTATGATACAGGAGGAGAGTCGCATTAGGCTACTGGCTAGGACAAGTGGACTTCCAGGGGTGAGGTCAACACTGGCAGCCTCCAACCCAGGTAACACTGAATTCAAGGGGGAGACTCGGCAGTGCTACAACTATGGTGATGTAGGTCATCTGAGACATGCTTGTCCTAAGCCACCCAAGGAGGGAAATTCGGGTGGACGTGGACAGTTCGAAGGTCGTGGTCGTGGCCGTGGTGGTCGACGAGGTGGAAGAGGAGGCAACCGGGTAAATCTAATGGTAGCAGAGAGTAGCAGGTGATGGAGATAAGAAGAGTGGGACTGAAGAGGCATCCACTCCGTTCTTTCCCCCAGAGGCAACACTACGACTTATGCTCATCCGACCAAAGGTACTGATGACACATATGCTCTTGCTTCTATATCTCCCACTAGATCATCAGAATGGATAGTCGATTCCAGTGCATCTCAACATGTGATAGGGAATGCTAGTGAGTTCTCATCATACACTCAACTAGCATCGGCTGATAGCATCCAGACTGCTGATGGTACATTTCAGCCTGTGGTTGATAAAGGTACAGTTAATTGTATATGTTCTGTAACTTTATCCAATGTTTTGCATGCTCCTTCCTTTCTAGTAAATCTTTTGTCCATTAGTGCCATCATACTCCATCTAAAATGTATTGTTTCTTTTGACATTCCCAAGGTGATCTTCCAGGAGAAGGGGACATAACGAAGACTTAGGACTGGCGGGTGGAGTGGGTGGAGTAGTGGACTATGGTACCTAGATCGTGAAGGGCTGGACTCAGTGTTGGTGTCTATGGTAGAGAGAGTAGGAGTAGGACCTAAGATGAGTGTTGAAGATGTGTTGATGCTCCATCACCAGCGCTTGGAACATTCATCCTTCAGTGTTTTAAGTAGGTTGTATCCATCTTTATTTGAGAAAGCAAATAAACAAAAACTTATGTGTGATGCATATGAGTTTGGAAAGCTTATTAGAAGCTCTTATGTTAGTTCTGGTCATAGGAGTTATTGTGCATTTGATCAGATACATTCTGATATTTGGGGGCATTGTTCCACAAGTTCTATGAATGGATATAAGAATTTTATTACCTTCATTGATTGCTTCTCTCGCGTTACTTGGTTAAACTTGTTGAAAAATAAGAGTGATGTGTTTGGTTGCTTCCAAGACTTTCATAGGTATGTTCAGACTCAATAGGAGTAGTGGTGAAGGTATTGAGGTCTGATAATGGGACAGAGTATACCAACAGAGCACTTGGGGAAACTTGTCAACTCAAGGAATACAGCATCAGACCACATGTGCATACACACCGGCTCAAAATGGGGTAGCAGAAAGGAAGAACCGACACCTTCTAGAGGTTGCTAGAAGCATGATGAACTCCATGAATGTCCCAAAAATATTGTGGAGGCAAGCCGTTCTGACCGCAGCTCAGTTGATCAATAGGATGCCCTTAAGAGTGCTGGAGTAGAAGTCTTCGTGTGAGATGTTGAAAGAAGATAATGGTGGGATTCTTCCATTGAAGGTGTTTGGTTGTGTGTGCTTTGTAAAGGACAAAAGACCATCCGTTGGGAAGCTTGATCCTAGAGCGGTGAAGTGTATCTTTATGGGATATTCTGCTACACAGAAGGGGTATGTTTGTTGGAGTCCGGTAGAGAAGATGCTGTTTGTGAGCATGGATGTGCATTTTCGAGAGTTCGATCCATATTACACCCTGGAGATAACTTCACCCTTTAGTGACTCGCCCGATACTGGAAGTATGAGGCGAGAGGGCAATTGTGAGAGTTTGGTGAAAAATGTGGAATCAATTATTGTATCAATTCCTTGGCAAGGAGGATTGGTTGAGGAAGAGCAGGAGAATGAAGAAGAAGAGGAGGAGGAGAAAAGAGGTGTTAGGCCCACAGCTCAGGGGGAGCTACTTACCTATAGTAGGAAGGGGAAGCAGATTGAGGGAACGATACCTACAGTGCCATTGGTGCTATCAAGTCTCTTGTCTCGGTCTACCCCAACTCCTACGACACCTACACCACCCCCAGATTCCTCCCACATAGGTGATATCATTCTTCTTCTTACTCCTCTCACTCCAATGTCAGTACGGAGGACTACTCGCAGCAATGCAGGACATCCTCCCGATAGATATGGTTGGGATCTTGCCCAGTTTATCTTATATGCTAACATATCATCTGCACATGGAGTATTCATTGTATCTTTGGACTCTGTTACTTTATCTAACAATTGGTAGGTTGCTAAGAAGGATCCAAAGTGGAAAGCGGCTATGCACGAGGAGCTAGGGGCTCTCGAGAAAAACCGCAGATGGGAGTTAGTAAAGCTACCAGAAGGAAAAAGAGCAGTTGGATGCAAGTGGGTCTTCACTATGAAGTACAATCCAGATGGTCAGGTTGAACACTACAAGGCACGTCTGGTGGAAAAAGGGTACAGTCAAACATATGGTATTGACTATGATGGGACTTTTGCACCGGTAGCGAAGATGAGTACCGTTCGAACTTTGATCTTTTTGACAGTGAATGGTAGATAGAAGCTACACTAACTAGATGTGAAGAATGCATTTCTTCATGGGGATCTAGTAGGGGAGGTGTACATGGATATACCACCAGGATTTAGCACGGATCAGATAGTGGATAAGGTTTGCAGATTGAAGAAGTCTCTCTATGGGCTAAAGCAATCTCCTCGAGCTTGGTTCAACAGATTCAAAATAACCATGATAGGTATAGGGTACCAGTAGATCAACGCCAACCATACTGTGTTCTTTTGACGAAGCGGAGGCCACATTACTATGCTTGTTGTGTACGTGGATGATATGATCGTTACAGGGGATGATGAGAAGGAGATTGCCCAACTCAAAGTGAGACTAGGTAAAGAGTTCGAGGTGAAAGATCTTAGCTTGCTTTGATACTTTCTTGGGATCGAGATAGCCTGAGGAGCTGAGGGGATTGTTCTCTCTCAAAGGAAGTACGCACTAAATCTTCTCATATAGACAAGGATGTTCAGGTGCAAACCTGTAGCTACACCGATCGACCAGATGTTTAAGCTGGGTGCTGAGGTAGGAGAACCAGTTGATCGTGACAGATACCAAAGGCTAGTAGGCAGGTTGATTTATTTGAGTCACACACGTCCTGATATCTCCTTGCAATGAGTGTAGTGAGTCGCTATATGCATGACCCGAGGAAGGGTCATATGGAAGCAGTGTACCAGATCCTGAGGTATTTGAAGAGTGCCCTCAAAAAAGAGCTGATATTCAGGAAGAATGATCATGTGAGCATTGAGGGCTACTGTGACTCTAATTGGGCTAGTTGTGCTAATAACAGGAGGTCCAACTCAGGTTACTACATCTTTGTAGGAGGCAACTTGGTCTCTTGGAAGAGCAAGAAGCAGACGGTGGTGGCAAGATCGACAGCGGAAGCAGAGTACAGAGCTATGATCTTGGGAGTTGCGGAGTTGTTGTACCTGAAAAGTATGCTAGTGGAGCTGAAGCTGGATCAGGAAGCCAAGATGAAGCTGTGGTGTGACAACAAGTCAGCCATCAGTATTGCCAATAACCCAGTGTAGCATGATAGAACTAAACATATCGAGATCGATAGGTTCTTCATCAAGGAGAAGTTGAACAGTGGACTATTAGAGTTAGGCCATGTTCCAACTAAAGATCAGACAGTCGACTCTCTGACCAAAGGACTTAGCTCCGTAGAAATGGCTAGAGGATGTAACAAGATGGGCTTAGTGGATATCTTTCACCCATCTTGAGGACGAATGTTGAGATATATGTATTAGTAGGGTCTTATTTGTAAGAGTGTTTTTGTAGGGCACTATATAAGCTCAAGTGGTATTCAGTAAAAGATAAGTTTTTATCTCAACAATTCAATTGAATGTTTGACTATTAAAGAGTTGACATCTCTAGGTATAATAAGGGAAATCATGCGCCGAAACAAAATATGCCCATGAGCATGGATCAACAAACAAATGGAAGTACAAGGAATTATAAGCACCAAATCCCATATAATCTGAGTGTCACTCTGGATGGCATCAGATTGAAAATCTAGAGAGTCAAAAAAACACAACACTCAGTCAATAACTAGTGTGCATGTTGTTAGGGTACACGATAACAAGAACGCCTCAAACGAAGATGCGAAACACACCCAAACGAACTTGGAATCACAGAATAAAACTAGCAAACACGAATTCAATCACATTACTCACAGATATAACATGGTTCATTCTTACGGAGCTACTCTACGGTGCAACGATGATGCCCAATTCTTTTATATTCCTTTTAAGGTTACGAAAGAAAAAGATAAAAGAGAACACCCTCTCTTGATCAAGATACTCTCCAAGAATTCTCACAAACTCTCTCTCAAGATTTCTCAATGATATTACTTATATCTGTATCTTTTTCTTTCTCTCTTTGCTACTAAGATACCTTACAAATCAAACTTAGGGAAGTATTTATAAGTTTTCTCATAGGGGTAGATGAACACTATTTGGGGTAGGTGAACACTGTAGCATGGGGGTAGGTGAACACTGCTGATTCTTTGATGAGAAGGCTATCCACTCTCTCAACAATCTCCCACTTGGAGAGTCTCCTCAACGAACTCTGTTTTTTAGTTGCATCATTCGGATGTCTTGTATCTTTAGCGTCTTGCACGATCCTCAACTTTCTCAACGAAGGTCATATGAGGTTGTACATAGCCTCACTTCTCGAGAGGAATTGGCTTGGTCAGCATATCGGCTGGATTGTACCTCATATTAATCTTTACAAGCTTAAACTCATTTCTGCTTTGCAATCTCCGTATGGCATGATGCTTCATGTCAACATGCTTGGTCCGAGCATGGAATGTGTCATTCTCTGACAAGTGAATGGTACTCTGACTGTCACAGTGGATGAAGTATTTTTCAAAGCTTACCCCAAGCTTGAGAAGAAAAGCTTTCAACCATAGCAACTCTTTTGCTACCTCTGCTGCAGACATGTACTCGGCTTCGATTGTCGACATAGTCACAGTATCCTATAACTTGCATCTCCAACTTATCGCTCCACCACCTAAGATGAAAATGTAGCCGCTCGTGCTCCTTCTTGAGTCTATATTCTCGGTTTAGTCTGCATCACAAAAGCCCTCTAGTTGTAAATCCACCCCGCCATACACAAGATAATAGTTGGATGAGCATCTCAAATAGCGTAGAAGCCACTTGACCACACCCTAGTGGTGTTTCCCTGCATTGCTCATGAAGCGGCTCACAACTCCCACTCATTGTGTAATATCTGGTCTCATGCACACTATCGCATACATCAAATTCCTGACAGCAGATGTGTATGGTATGTTGGCCATGAACTCATGCTCTTCAGTAGTCTCTTGTGCTTGGGTCTTCGATAGCTTGAAATTGCTCGCAAACGGCAAGCCCACCAGTTTAGCTTTCTTCATGTCAAACTTTTTAAGAATCTTCTCAATATAGACCTTCTGAGACAACCTCAGCCTACATGTTGATCTGTCTCTGATGATCTTCATCCCAAGAATGTAGTTTGCTGGACCCAGATCCTTCATCGAGGAGCTTGCTTCAGGCCATACAAGCTCTTGCGCAAGCGATACACGAGTCCCTCCCTACCTCGTTCCTCAAAGCCCACTGGTTAATGCATATAGATCTCTTCTTCTAAATCTCTATGAAGGAATATCGTCTTCACATCCATATGCTCTAGATAGAGATCTCAAACCGCCACAATTCTTAGCATAGTCTGGATTGTGGTCAACTTGATGACGGGATCAAAAATGTTAGAATAGTCTATCCCTGCTTTCTGCTTATAGCCCTTCACTACAAACCTCGCCTTGTAGCATCTCCGTCCATCGGCTTTATCCTTTACCAGATAAATCCACCGATTGTGAAGAGCCTTTTGCCCTCTTGGAAGCTTTATGAGCTCCCAAGTCCCATTCTTCGTCAATGATTTCATTTCTTCCTCCATGGCAGACTTCCACTCGTCCCGAGCTTTGCCGGTCTACGGTACCTCCTCATAGCTTTTTGGCTCACCACTGTCAGTCAGGAGAAAATAATTAATGTTGGAAAGGTACCTCTCTGGTACACTCGGATTTCTTGGAGCTTTGTGAACTGCGATCAGCAGCTCTGTTGCATCCTGTTGTTGTGCATAGGCACGTTCTCTTGGTCTCCGTCTTCTATGCTGACTGGTATCTCACCATCGTCCTTACTGTCAGCAGTATCTAGGAAAAGAGGGGGAGATAGCTGACTCTTACTCATCTCTTTGGTCTTGTACACCGCATCCTCATGGAACACGACGTCACGACTGTGCACTACCTTGCGCGTAACGTGATCCCAGAAATGGTGCCCATACTCATCTCCTCCATAGCGGATGAAAGAAAGCTTCTTTGACTTTGGATCAAGCTTTGACCGGTCTCAGGATTGGTCATGACATAGGCGTCATAACCAAATACTCGTAAGTGTTCTAGCTTCAGCTTCTTTCCGGTCCAAGCCTCTTCAAGTATCTCATAACTGAGAACCGCAGATAGCCCGTGGTTGATTAAGTATGCAGCAGTATTCACAGCATCGGCCCAAAAACTCTTGGGCAATCCGGAGTGGATCCTCATACTACTGGCGCGCTCCAAGATAATGTGATTCATACGCTCCACCACTCCGTTGTGCTAAGGTGTGCCTAGAATGGTCTTCAATCTCCTAATCCCATGGGATGAGTAGAAATTCTCAAACTCCTGGCTGCAATACTCACCTCCATTATCAGACTTTAGTCACTTCAGCTTATTGCCTGTTTCGTTCTCCACACAGGTAAGCCACTTCTTAAAGATGATGAAAACATCTGATTTGTGCTTCAAGAAGAACACACACAGTTTTCTAGTAGCATCATCAATGAAAGAGACAAAGTAAAGAGAGTTATCAACAGATGAGACTTGCGCAGGTCCCCACACGTCGGTGTGCACCGACTCTAATTTTTGTAGTTTTGGAGTCGGCCTTGTCTTGTTTAAGCTCACCTTTTTTTTGTTTGCCTAGGATGCAGTCTTCACAGAAAGTCAAATCGATCTTTCTCAAACCCGGAAGCCTCTCTCCCGCGGCCATAATCTGCATCCTCTTCTCGCTCATGTGGCCAAGTCGTCGATGCCAAGTCTCTCTTGATCAAGATACTCACCAAGAATTCTCACAAACTCTCTCTCAAGATCTCTCGATGATATTACTTATACCTGTATCTTTCTCTTTCTCTCTCTCTAATACTGAGATACCTTACAAATCAAACTTAGGGGGGTATTTATAAGTTTTCTCATGGGGGTATGTGAACACTATTTGGGGTAGGTGAACACTGTAGCACGGCGTAGGTGAACACTGCTGACACTTTGATGAGAAGGCTATCCACTCTCTGAACACATGTTTGTCTGAGGAGAGTGCCGCTGTTTGGGAATCTGAAGCTAGTTTGAGTAGATTGGTATTGAAAAACTTACGTAGCCAATGTTGGAGGTCTTGGTTAAGTAAAGGAACATGAAAAGGCAACAACATTGTGATGCTCATATTAAATGTGACTTTAGCTTTATGGCGCTTTGATAAAGTTCATAATCGGTCATGTCATGGGGCAAAAGCATGAGCGTAGACAGTCAAATTAGTTTTCCTTTTCCTCTCTCTCTCTTTTTCCCCCTCTTTTTCTTTTTTCCTCATCAATCGTCAACAAGCACTTCTCATACCTACACACTATCTGTGCTTCTCTTTGCCACCAGAAGCGTGCACGAAAATGCAGGCTTGAATGAAATGTGTGGCTTTACGGTCTTGTTTATTGTTGCATGCAAATATTACTTTTTTTTTCTTTCCCTTAAATAGATTTAAGAGTGTGAGGAAATCCATCATGAGAACTGTAATGGTTAACGCAGCAGCATTTTCTAACACTTCTACAGCCTACCCAACTCCTAATGTTCTACATAGGTAAAGCATATATACATTCAGTGCCAAATATGATAATTGTTTGTAATAAACCTCATAATTCTCTACTATTCAAAGTACATGATACCAAACTGAGTACTACAAAATTTAACCATAATTCACTACCATGAACAGCACAGATCATATCATTTCTCACCAAAAAATATCGTGTTGCATTACCAAAAGTCAGTGCTAATTAAATGTTACATGCTGGTGGTGGATACACATGTGCCCATATTTCCTAAATAACTTCCCACTAATGATTCAACTCCCCACTAAAAAATATGTTTTAAAAACTTTACTAACAAGATCTCATTCAAAACACACTAACAATTAGCAAATCCAGGGAAAAGGAAAAAAAACCAACAATTGGTTACAAGAGTTTCTAGTTCCCACAACTCCTCCACTTACAAGTAGGGACATCACCTTTCGGCTGGAGATTAAGATTTTAGTTCATTTCCATTTTCAAAGAAGATATCAGTTCTCACTTGTACAGCTCAACAAAAGGAGACAATCACATCCCAATCAAGAAAAGAACAAAGTATAGCATTCTGTAATTTCCTCATATTGGCTATCCTTTTCTCTCAGGTAATCATGTAAGTAATCTTATATGATTTACTTTCTATGATGTTTGATTCCCAGTGATCATGATGCCGCCACCATGCAGAAAGAATGAGAACAATCAGTCCAGATAAATTCGCTTTTTATATAATATACAAGGACGGGTTAGTTTGAAGAAATATAACAATACACACATTTAGACGTCAATGAACAAGCTATTTCAAATGGGAGGAATGTACAAGAGATTGAAGGCGCATCTTCTCATGACTCTCGCCCAGATAGGCTATACATTGCTCTACTTCATCACTGAAGCTTCCTTCAACCGAGGAATGAATCCTCATGTCTACATAACATATCGGCATGTTGTTGGTGGCTTTGTTATGTTGCCTTTCGCTTATTTTCTTGAAAGGTACATCCATCCTATAACTCTTGAATCTCTTTGGTTCAGTTTACTGAACCCTCAAAAATTGGGCTAGGATCAAAACTGAGCCAGGATTGATCCTGGCCCAGTTTTATCCTCGCTGGGGTAGAAATAAACTAGGGATTGGTCCAGCTTTAAACTGTCTAAGGGATATTTTAAGGTGTAAAAAGAACAGAGCCAATCCTGGCCCAATTTCTTCCAAACGGTAATTTTTCTCAAAATGTGACCAGGATCAATCCTGGCCCAGTTTTGAGTGGTTGACAAACTGGCCCTTACGAATGAAATTTTCAAACTACTAAGAAATGAATAAAGCTGAACTAAAATCATAATCAAATTATAAATGAATTATGATTGAAACTAATACTTTTTCCTCTTCAATTTGTGCCAGAAGAATGAGGCCAAAGTTGACATGGGCTTTGTTTTGGGAGATTTTTGTTCTTTCCCTTCTTGGGTGAGCATACCAACAACTTATATGTATGTATAAAATGAGAAAAACAGCAAATAGTGATGGATAACAACTAAGTAACATTTTGGAAGTGCAGGGTGAGTCTAACGCTGAATATGTACTTTGCCAGCTTGAAATATACATCACCTGCATTTGTTTCTTCTATGGTTAACACCATTGCTTCTTTGACATTTGTTATCGCTGTTCTCCTAAGGTATGCAAACTCCCAGTAATAACACTGTCCACTTATTATCTTTACTTAGAGCCACCTATATTTTGGGTTTTAGATTGGAAAAACTCGATTTTAAGAGCCCTCGGGGGATAGCGAAGATTGTAGGGACTTTAGTTTCCCTAGCCGGGGTAACAATTATGACACTGTATAAAGGACCAGCAGTGAAGAACTTATGGGAAGCACTAATTCATATTCAAGGAAGTGTTGTCCATGAAAGTTGGGTGAAAGGATCAATTCTTACCGTAGTGAGCTGCATAACATGGTCCATATGGTATATCATGCAGGTATTGCCTTCTGCATCATATACTTCAACCAATATGACATGTTACTAAACTTACTATCAGATAAAACATATTTATGTAGGTTTTGTTTACTCTAAAAAGAAAGATATTCTCCTAAAAGAACATCTAACATGATGATGGTTATGTATTACTTTCATTGAGGATGAACTTAATTTCAATTAGGAAGTTTGCTGAATAAGGATTTTTTACAAGTCATGTAGCACATGCACTTCTATTGTGAAACCATGTCATATTAGACACAAGCCAACAAGATATTTTCGCTGAATCGTCCTGATTTTTCATGTATAGTTTTACTATTTGTGTCAGAATGTCCATGTTCATGCTTCTCAGGGTGCAAGCCCTACCATGACATTTGTATAAATCTAATGTTCAGAATGATATTCTGTTGGATTGCTTAAATGGCTCATTTCTGTGGAATCTTTTACAGCTAGAAAAACCACCTATATGATATAAAAAGGAAACCCGAGAAACTTTAAAGATGCTCAGTTCCATATCCATGATTTCTGGAAGTCAAGGAAAATAGCAGTGTCTGGGTTCATTTATAAAATGACGGATCAATTTGTAATATAATAGAGCTTGCAAAATTAGAGCTGAAGTGTACGCCAATACAGAGTCACCAACATTGCAGTATAAAGACAGTTTCTGGCCATGTAGATGCAATAATTAACTACATAAGAGAGTTAACTGAAATAAATAGATTAATAGAGAATGATTAATGCCTCACACGTTATGCATCACAGAAATATTGTGACAGGTACACACACATCACTCTTAAACATGCATATTTTAAGGGACAATGCAGATATATGATTAATTTATTATTATTATTATTATTAGTGCCTTCAGTAATTAATTAAATACGTTTTTCGTGCTTAGAAATTTGATCTTGAATGCAGGCTGTAACCTTAAAAAGATATCCAGCACAGCTATCACTTACTACATGGATGAATTTTGTTGGAGGGGCGCAATCAGCTGTTTTCACAGTATGTGTAGCACACAAACCAGCGGACTGGGCTCTTAGGCTTGACATAAACCTTTGGAGTATTTTATACGGCGTAAGTAAATTTTGTGTAGTATTCTTATTTCTACGAAGGAAATCTTAGTTTTAAGATATATGATGCAGGGAGTAGTATGTTCTGGTCTGATAATCTTCATTCAGTTGTGGTGTACTAAGGAAAAAGGTCCTGTATTCGTGACGATGTTCAACCCTGTTGCGACAATACTAGTCGCAGTTCTAGCTTACGTTATTTTTGGTGAAAAATTATACACAGGAAGGTAATAATTGAAACTACAAGAACACATTGGATATTTCATATTATACCTTAAATTGTCTTGTGTTTACATCATAATAGGATCCTTACATTCTCATATTGTCTTTGCAGCATAACGGGAGGAGTTATAGTCATTATTGGCCTCTACTTGGTTCTGTGGGGAAAGGAAAAAGACCTAGAACCAGATGGAAACTCCCAAAAACCTGCTCCTTTAGCTAATGATGAACAAAAAGAAGCAAGTAATGATTCAACCATTTATATTGGAGGAAAGGTTTAGAACTTAAAGGGGCTCCTAGAAGTTGGTCACAGCTTATAGTTGAGCACTTCAAAATTTGTTTATTATGTGAATGTTTAAGTTGATCAAGTTCCATGGACCCTTGATCACTACGGTTCATATACGATATTGGGAAAATTAAAATGATAAAATACTACAAACAATTCAATAATACATTACAGGCTCCAGCTGAAAGAAGAGGCTGAAATCCTAAGCTTGGAAGACCAAGATAGCAAACATGAATTTATATGCAAGTATGTTATGGATTGAATTATTCTCGTTAGTGCTGCAGTTAATGGTCATAAAGTGCAAACGAGCAGTGGCATAACTGAAGAGATCGACCGCCAGTTAAGACAAAAGAAAAAAAAAGGAATGATTATTATCCATGCAATGAGCATTGAAAGTTGAAAGTTGAATCTCACAACCATGCATGATCACTGAAACACTTGTTGCATGGAACTTTAAAAAAAAGAAAAAATGCAATATATGTAGCTTTCGTTGTACGCAAAGTACATCTAAGTTACTCCATGGTTACTAAGTTCTTTGAAGTTTGACTAACTGTATCCTAAAACGATAAGAAAGATCATTTAACAATTTACTTCGTGGAAGATTTACTTTTTATCAAGATTATTCGTCATCAAAACCAGAGATTCAGATCATTGGGTTTGGTGTAGTAGAAGGGAATGTTAACAGGTGCAACAAAGAAAAAGTTCAATTTTTATGCGGTAGAGTAATAAAAAATAGTTCCAGCAATAGTGAGAAAGAAATTTATGGCATGGAAATATATATTTTTTGGTTCTTTTTTCTGATAACTATCATTTAGATTTACAATGACACTTGAAAGAATCACCAACTAGAACCAAAAAATAGGAGAAACTCAACGACTATAACATTTGCACTTCCTTCATTGCGAATTCTCAGAGAAAATCATAAAATAATTTATGAAGGCCTGAAAGGGTGAACCTGATTAAGAGATAGAAAGCCTGATGAAATGCAAAGAAAAAAAAGCAACTGATACATAAGGCGTGAATGGAAGAAAATCAATCTACTTATTGCAAACTCCCAAGCTCCATAGCAAAAGAAAATCCCATGAGATGGATTCTACAACATAATTCACAAAACAAATTCAAGAAATGAATCTAACAACATAATTAATAAAACCAAATTCTTTATGGAACATGAAGATGATATTCAAATAGCATTCATTATAAATTGATTTATTTATATTTTATAACAAGTGCTTTCTGCATATAAGTAAACAGCAACAGAAACTGACTAGGATCTGTACACTTAGCAAATTTAGCACGATAGATTTAACAGTGAACATCTAAATTTGAAACCCCTATTAATTGTTGTGCGCCGCAGAAGCCTCGAATAGCCAAAACAATAGCACACACAAGAACAAAATAGACCACAATAGACACAAGCCAACCAATCACAGCAAGAACACAAGATATACGTGGTTCGGCAATGTGCCTACGTCCACGGGGCAATGAGGGGGAGTTTCACTAATCAAAACAAAGGGGAATACAAATTAGGGTTATAAATCTTACCCAAAACCCTCAAACAAGATCACTTGATCTCTCCAATAGACTCCAACAAAAGAAGCCCTAGAAAATCCCCTTTGGCAGCTCAAAATCTCCCTTGCATTAAACCCTAGAACAGATTTGGGGTTTATATACAAGTTACAAAGAAAACGGGTCTGGAAAACCAACTTAAACCCAAAACCCGATAGTCGGTCGACCACAGCACCACTGCCGGTCGACCGCAAAATATCCCGAGGTCCAGTCTGCTCTCTGGACAATTCGCGGTCGACCGCAGCGCTTCGTCCGGTCGACCGTCCAAATTCCAGAGGCACACTAAGAGTTGTGTGCACATATCGGTCGACCGCAGCTCCACTGCCGGTCGACCGCCCAACTTCCAGAGGCATACCTCTGACTTTTCACCAACTCTACAAATCTCCACCTCGGCGAACGTTTATCCCAAAACTGAGCCGACACCAAAACACCCCCAATCAACTTCAACCGGCTGCATCTGCAAGACTGCCTACGTATCCTCTTGCCCAAGGAATCAAGCCGAACATAGTTCATCCAAATGGCCGTCAACGGCCTCAACAACGAAGAATGTTCAATAAATTCAAACAGTGACCAAATTTCATACCTGGTACAACTTTGGTCAACATATCAGCAGGGTTATCCTTAGTGTGGACCTTCTCCAACGTGACATCACCATCATCTAATACATCACGTACAAAGTGAAATCTGACATCAATGTGCTTCGTGCGTGCATGGTAGACTTGGTTCTTCGCCAAATAGATAGCTGACATACTATCACAATGTACCTGAATGGCCCTTAATATACCGTAGAATCCACTTTACGGCCTCCCAATGCCCCTTCCCGGGGTTGTGCATGTACCTAGATACCATGCTCACAGCCTGTGACAAATCTGGCCTCGTACACACCATAGCATACATCAAGCTACCCACTGCGCTGGCGTATGGAACCTTGGACATGTAGTCCCTATCCTCCACTGAAACTGGTGACATCAAAGCTGAAAGCTTAAAGTGGGGAGCTAATGGAGTACTCACCACCTTGGTATTACCCTCAAAACTGAATTTCTTCAGCATCTTCTGTAAGTAACTCTTCTGTGTAAGCTTCAATCTCCCCTTCACCCTGTCTCGCTCAATCTCCATACCCAGTATCTTCTTAGCTTCTCCCAGGTCCTTCATCTCAAATTCTGATGACAGCTCCTTTTTCAATTTCCCAATAGCTGAAGTGTTCCTGGAAGCTATGAGCATATCATCAACATACAATAACAAATAAATGTGCTCACCATCCTGTAGCTTTCGCATATAAACACATGGGTCATAAGGGCTCCTCGTGTATCCTCGGCCAATCATAAAGCTATCAAATCTCTTGTACCACTGTCGCGGTGATTGCTTCAGTCCATAAAGAGATTTCCTCAATTTGCACACCAAATTTTCCCTTCCTGCAGCTTTAAACCCCATAGGTTGTGTCATGTAGATCTCCTCGTCTAAGTCTCCATGTAGAAATGCCGTCTTCACGTTCATTTGGACCAAATCTAGGTCCAGCTGTGCCACCAATGCCAATAGTATCTGAATCGACGAATGCTTCACAACGGGTGAAAACACATCGTTGTAATCAACACCTTCAACCTGTGCATATCCCTTGGCAACCAATCTGGCCTTATATCGAATGTCCCCAATAGAAGATCCCTCCTTCTTAGCATACACCCACTTGCAACCAATAGCTTTCTTACCCTTAGGTAGCTGTGCAAGTTCCCAAGTGTCGTTCTTCTGAAGAGATTGCATCTCCTCCTCCATAGCATTCCTCCACCTAATGGAATCAGGACTGACTCTACCTCCCTGAATGTGGCAGGAATCAGATCATCAACGACCTCCACCGATAAAGCATATGCCACCATGACATCATCATATCTCGCTGGCCAACGAATCTCTCTCCTCGGTCTATCTGCTGCAATGGACCCCTGAGCGTGACCCTGCTCATGAGCCTCGACATCCACTGTATCCCCCAAATACCTGACTGTCATCTCATCTCCTCCCTGTGTCACCTCTGTAGGAGTCTCAATGGGAACAGTGCCAACTGGAGTGGGTGGAGCCACATCATCCTGCACCTGCTGCGATATCCCACATGTCTGATCTTCCTCCACCTACTGAGGAACTCGAGGCTTCATCATGTACGCCTCATCGAATGTGACATCTCTGCTAATGATCATCTTCTTGTCTTGTGGATCCCATAATTTGAAACCTTTTACACCTTCTCTAAATCCCACAAAGATAGCCTTCCTTGCTCTCGGATTCAACTTCCCATCACTAACATGGAAATAAGCTGGACACCCAAAAATCCGAAGAGTCTCATAATCACTAGCAGGAGTCTTCCCCTCTATCACAGTGCACGACAACCTGTTAATGAGATGGCTATCATAAACTAACGCCTCGGCCCAAAAAGATCTAGCCAATCCACTCTGCGTCATCATACATCGCACCTTCTCCAGCAAGGTACGGTTCAGCCTCTCTGCCACCCCATTCTGTTGCGGTGTCTCTCTAACTGTGAAATGCCTTCTAATGCCGTGATCCCGGCAAAACTGCAGAAATGGATCACTCTTGTACTCTCCACCATTGTCTGAACGAAGAGTCTTCACCTCTCTACCTGTCTGCAGCTCCACTTTCTTCTTTCACTCCACAAATATATCCAGGACCTCATGTTTATGCTTCATGGTATATACCCAATTCCTCCTGGAATAATCATCAATGAAAGTGACAAAATAATTTGCCCCACCAAGCGATGTGTGCTTAGAAGGGCCCCAAACATCTGTGTGAATGTAGTCTAATATACCTTGGGTGTTGTGAATTGCGGTGCCAAACTTCACTTTAGTCTTCTTCCCAAGTATGCAATGCTCACACAGCTCCATCTTGCAGGTCTTTGCACCTTTCAATAGCCCCTGTTTTGCCAATGACTGAAGGGACTTTTCACCTGTGTGTCCAAGCCTCATGTGCCATAGTGTGGTAGTGTCCTCCTCTGTGGTGATAGAAGCAGCCAGACCCCCTGTAACTGTCTTTCCCTTCAAGTAGTATAGGTTGTTTTCCCTGACACCTCGCATCACCACCATGGACCCCTTCATGACCTTCAAACTAGCATCCTCTAATATTACTCTATAACCGGATGCCTCCAAAGTCCCAAGAGAAATGAGGTTCTTCGTCAACTGCGGCACGAACCTCACATCTTTCAATTCCCTAGTCACCCCGTCATGCATTCTGATTCTGACTGAGCCAATCCCACTAATAGGACAAACGTGATCGTTCCCCATGAGCACCATGTCTCCTCTCTTCAACTCCTCAAAGTTGGTAAACCAATCCCTCTTAGGGCAAATATGAAATGTAGCTCCCGAATCAAGCATCCACTCCGTAGAGTCGGCATAACAAACTGACAGCAGTGCAGGACAAGAATAACCGGAAGAATCCGAATCTGAAATGTCACCATCAACCTTGGCAACATTCACCTCTGAAGCTTGTACAGCTTTCCCCCTTTGCTTCCCGGCTCTATCCTTCAACTTTGGGCACTCATTTATCCAATGTCCCTCTTCTTTGCAAAAGGCACATTGA